TTTTCAACTCGCATACTCGTACATTCAATGTACTGATGCCAGTTGGCCTGCATCTTATTATGATGCAGACGCAGGTAACCAGGATCAGCATCCAACGCGCCGTTGATGCAGTTGAGCACTCCAGAGTCAGTGGTGAGCCTCATTGCATCCCGAGGACTCTTTTATTTCGCTTTCCTAGTTTTTCTTTATTAGGATGTTGTGGGGTTTGTCCCAACACCTATCTCAGTATTATAGAGTCTTCATAGACAGTCAGACAATTAGTATTGAGTCTCTCATCTATGTATTTACAGATACTTTGTTTTGAGACATAAGTTGCCATTTTGGCTAAGATGTTATCAATTAAACTATTACATTGGGTTTATTCTGTTGAGTTAAGTATTCTGTTGAGTTAAGTAAGCCAAGCCAACGGTCCGCTTGGGCCCATCGATGGTCTCCGAGTGCCGGCCACGTCCAGGGTGTAGGCTTGGGGCGTGACAACTTTATGGACTAAAACAAGCACCCAAACAATGACATAAGAAATTTTACCAAACTATGTTGGTAAATGGATTTAAGAATGATGGAAGTGATAAATGTGTTTACATTAAAATTACAAGGTAATTTTTTGTTTGTATATTTGTGACATGTTGATCATCAGTAGAGACACTAATGACATAAATGCTACTAAACGTATGCTAGAAAGCGAGTTTGATATGAAAGATCTTGGAGTTGCTGATGTGATCTTAGGTATAAGAATTCTTAGAACTCCATAATGTTTAGCATTGTCATGGTCTCATTGCATTGAAAAGGTACTTGACTAATTCAAATATTTGGATTTCAATATTGTCAAGACTCCAATAAATGTGAGATTTGCATTTCAAATGAGTGAAGGAGAAAGTGACTCACAATTGGATTGTGCTAGAGTATTGGGAAGTATGATGTATATCAAGAAGTGTACGCGATCAGATATAGTATGTGTTATTACTAAACTGAGTCGGTTCACGAATAATCTCAATCAAACTCATTGGATGGCAATGAAAAGAGTTTTGGGGTATTTAAAACATACTCAAAACTATGTCTTGCATTATAACAATATCCAGTAGTATTGAAAGGATATAGTGATGCAAATTGGATCACCGGGATCAAATGAAGTAAAATTCACGAGTGGATATGTATTTACTTTTGGTGGAGGAGCAGTCTTTTGGAAATCTTCCAAAAAAAAAGGCATGTATCGCTGGCTCTACAATGATCTCTGAGCTAGGTGCTCTAGATAAGACCGATGAATAAGTTGAAAAACTCCGGAATTTCTTGATAGATATCATTTTTTTGGTTCAAACCTTTGGCATCAGTATGCATACATTTTGATAGTCAAGATGCAATAGGTAGGGCATGAAGCATGATGTGTAACGAAAAGACTCGTCATATAAGACATAGACATAATACCGTTAGAAAAACTTCTCTCTAGTGGAAATTGTCACAATTGACTATGTAGAGTCAAAGGATAATGTGTCGGATCCACTTACAAAAAAGGCCTAACTAGAGAGAAAGTTGAAAGATCATCTAAGGGAATGGGTTTACGGCTTAGGAAAAGTCATCATGGTGGTAACTCTACCTAGCAGACTGGAGATCCCAAGAGCTAGGTTCAAAGGAGAAAAACAAAGTTGTGACTGACGGTTCGGCATTGTCAACCAACTCAATCCATTCTCATGATGAAGACAATGTTCAAGAATAAGGATACAACATTAAGGCTTATTAATAAGTTAATAAAGCTTAAAGTTTTTAATGATTTGCTAAGTTTGACAGATTTGACCAAATAGTGTATCTACGTGAAAACACGGTTAGAAATCACCTATGTGAGTGGAAGTGTAAGCCTCTTCAAATAGGATGATTGTCAAAAGTCCATCTCTCTATACACTCATGAAACTATGAGGTGTTCATGGCTGAAACGAACACAACCGTAAGAACCATAAGGTAAAGGGTTGATTGTGTGACATATGGTTGTCTAGGTATACACCAAATCTTGACAGTTCAAAGATATCAAATCTACTGATTGACCGAGTATATCTGGCATATGTTCACTGCGGAAAGTTCAAAATGAAACCTACTTATCTAGATGCAATTAATTCTTGCTTGCAAAGTATACATACTTGTTTGTTTCTTTGTCTTGGAGTCATTCCCCATTCATGTGGGGGATTGTTGGGTTTTAAAAGGTGAGAATGGAAAATGATGAGTTGCGACTTTATGAAGAGTTGCGACTTTTATGAAGAGTTGTGACTTTTATGAAAAGTTGTGACATTTATGAAAAGTTGTAACTTTTATGAAAAGTTGTGACTTTTATGAAAGGTTGTGACCTTTTCGAAAGGTTGTGACTTTTCCAAAGGTTTGTGACCTTTCCGGTAAGGCACTATAAGAACCTTTTCACACTACCCTTTGTTTTCTATAAATTGAGGATTTCCTCTCATTTTAGTTGAACGGATTTTTCTGGACTTCTTCTACTACTACTAAATCTAGTATTCTAAGTGTACTTTACTGTCGTTGAGTGGTTCGCTGACACTGTGGTTTAGGTACTGATACACCGGTGAGAAGATCGTTATATCCTGGGAGGATATATTCCATTAACCTCGAGTACTTGAGGGAAATAATTTCCTTAAGGGGACACTGTGCATTCAGTGGGCTCGATTTTCTTTCTTTGAGAAAAAATATTTTTATATTGTTTCTAATCTGTTTCTGATTCTATTTTTCTCTACTAGTTTTAATTTTCTAGTTTGAAAATACTCTTTTAACTTTGTTGTTTCTTACCAAGTTCTTCAAAGTTTTGTTCTAAGTATCTTAGGAATACAAGTTGAACAATATTTATTGTCGTAAAAATATTTAACAATAGCTGAGTTAGCTAAACTTTTTATGTTCTAGTGAGATAAACATAGTGAAATTATGTCAAAACTACAACTATTCTTGGTAATCCAATTATTGGTCCATCAATGAATATATTTTCAATTTGATCCTTCCAGATTTGGAGGGGTTGGATACAAAATGAGCTAAATTTGACATTTTATATTAGGAAAATGTAGTATTTTGTTGACTAACAAAATTTGGCAAATCAAGCCATGTGGGCTATCCAATAATAAAATAATCTAGTGTTACAATCCACTTGCAACTTGAGGTTTGATTTATTCACAAAGTTAGATTATTAGATGTATTTTGTAAAATTAGCTTATAAAATTATAACTCGTTTAAGTTTGAATTAATTATGGACTCGTTCATTTATTAGTTCAACGTATCAAAGTTTTGGTTGATATTTAGCCTAAATCGACTCATGAAAAACTTAGTCAAATAATTTCAAAAAAAGTACATTTTATTTTATTTAATCATATATCATATATAAAAGAGAACCTTAGGCCCACCTACGTGACGCCACCACAAACCAGAATTCCCTATTAATTTATTTATTTCCAACACTTGCCTTCTCCTTTCATGAAAAGTTGTGACTTTTATGAAAAAGTTGCGACTTTAATGAAGAGTAGCGACTTTTATGAAAAATTGTGACTTTTATGAGAAGTTGTGACTTTTATGAAAAGTTGCGACTTTAATAAAGAGTAGCGATTTTTATGAAAGTTGTGACTTTTATGAAAAGTTGTGACCTTTTCGAAAGGTTGCAACTTTTTCAAATAGTTGTAACCTTTCTGATAAGTCACAATAAACATTTGTTCACACTACCCTTTGTTGTCTATAAATAGAGGGATTCCTCTCATTTAAAATAACGAAATTTCGAACCTCTTCTTCTTCACAATTAAATATTTGTGTACTTTGCTCCTGTTGAGTGGCTCACTGACACCATTGTTTATGTTACAGATCCTGGTATGTATTTTTACAATCATTAATTTATGCTTATGTTATTAAGGATAAATGATAAGATTTAATAATTTTCATTTTCCTTCATATTATTAATGTTTGTTACTACGTAATCTTGTATGTAAGATAATATAGTGTTTTAGTTTTAATGCCCGATAGGTTTTTATTTTATAAATTCCATGACATTAAATTCCCGCGCGAAGTGTGGATAATTTTACTAGTATATTATATACAGTCATAATAAGGAAAATATTTTTCCAAGGTATTGAAAATTTATAAAAGAACAAATAAAGAAATTAAAACTTAGTGAAAGTTTGGCGAGTTGAGATTATGATCCACAGTTTTAGCCAATTACAGCTCAATCCATTTCAACCACCCCTTTTTGCCTAAGTGACATTTGGATGGATTTAACCCACTCATTTGATCCATCCAAATTCAGCTCAACCTGCTCATTTGTCACCTATAACGTTTTGTATCACTTCATCAATTTGCTGTGAAGGAGGCATCTCCTTTTTTAGGGCATCAAGATGCAACTTTGTTCCTATTCCCTTAAGCAATAATAGAGTATTAAAAGAGAATGACATTGGAGGTGATGGTCTTAAAACTTTTGACCCCGCTTGCCTCATGAACAAAACTTCAAAACTATCCATTTCCAATGTCATTTAGTGGTGATTTCTTCAGTTGAATTCCCCTCTAACAATAATAAGTGACTCTTCATAGCAGGTTGAAATCGAAACCTGGAAAATGGAGTACTAACTAGCTATAGCTGATTAAATTGCATTGTTAGTGAACTTTTTTAAAACTGTCAGTGTATACATAAAACGTAAATATCTAATAGAGAAAAGAGTTAGTAATCACATCTAGCTATAGTTTTGCTTTTCGTTTTGCATTGCATTCTCAATTTTGTTGTAAGATACACAAATAGGTAGAAGTGACACTTATAAAAGAGCTGCCCAGAAAATTCTGGATATGCCAGAAGGCAATAAGGATGTGAGTTCAATATTCTTCTGTGCGCTATTGATCTGATGATATCAAGATATTATTCAAAAATACAACGTATCGGTCTCACTCATAAACGGAATTTGTTAAGTGAGACGGATACTAAAGCAACAAAGTGAACAAATCATCCTGAATATGAAGATATTCACAGACCTTGTATGGTATGGAGCAGTAGCATATGGAACAATTGCTGATTGATATGTAGAAGGGAAAATAGTATTTGGTTTTTACAAGAATTGTCTGTCAAGAGCACATTCGAAAGAATGCAATACATACATGTAAATGAATCTAATGACCTTGCAAACAATTCTCGTCTTTACAAGTCATCGAAATATAGGATCCCATGACTCTAATATGTGTTTCAAGAGAGATCCTTCCAAGTGCAAAAAGTAGAATTAGTAGGCAGCTCAAGACGAAACGTCCTAAATCTAAGAACTCTTTGCAGTCTCTCACCTTAGTGTATTAGCTCAGAGAAGGAAGGTGAAAAGAGCTTGGAAGATTGATTTTACACTTCCCTGGAATTTTGGAGGTTGAAAATCTTCCTTGCTTGTCGATAACAAACCATTGATATAATCCCCTTGTCTTCCCTGGAAAACATGAATAAGTTGTATAAAAATCTAAAGAATAACTTCGAATACAGTTCTCGATTCAATAGCACTCCCTTGCCCCAATGTTCAGTATGATGATCAAAACAACATTTGTTTAGTCGACTTCAAGCACCAAGTCTATTATCTTTCTTTAATAAATCACACATACTAAAACTTGGAAACAATAAAAACATGTGTAGGAAAACCATGATCAAACAAGGATTCGCAAACTAGTAAGTTGGCACACAAAATGGAATAAAAGAGTGGCATTTTTTATAATAAATTCACACATGAGAGATTTCATTTTCATTTTTTATCCATGTGCCGAAGCCTGAATGTTTCTTTAGGACAAACAAAGGTTTCAGGGAGTAAAAGATGATACTGTTGTAATTATGTGTTACCTTAGCTGCATCTTTTAGAGGACCCCAACATTCTACACGGTTGTACTTCTTCGAGCTAGAATGAAAATAGACTCTAACAGTAGCATTCATTAGTTCCTCATGCTCCTTGAAGAAATCTGAATCCCCATAGAGCACAGCCTCAAGTACCTAGTAGTTCGAAAAGGCAGATTAATCACAATCCGATTAGTATAATACACTAGTTTAGAGGAGAAAACCAAATTACAGTTCAACAACGGAATGAAAACAAAGTTTTTTAGCTCATTGGACTGGTTGTTTTACAAGTTATGCACTAAAACAGTTGCAAAGTCAAAAGGAACTCCAACCAGGTTCCTAATTCAAAGAATAAATAGGAACCTAGCATGCATTATTGTTGGCTGCATTAACTTGCCAGAGAAGGTTAGGATTACCAAATCTTGTCCTAAGGCTAATAAGGAAATACCAACAAAAAAAAAAATTATTCTTGAATTTAAGGTAATCGTCCATCCCTGTTTTAAGGAGCTATGTCCACTGACCATGCGATATTCTGGAGTTAATATAAGTAATTATTCAAGAAGTATCACTTGGCCAGGATATAAACTTTCTAAGCAGATTTTATACAACTTGTTCAATCCTCCTCGTCCTCTTTAAGAAAGTTTTATAACTCCAAAATCAGAATAATGCTTGACAAATGAAATAAGTTTTATCAAATGTGACTTGCAGACTTACAAGGTGCAACTTAATGCAGCTATGCAAGTCAAATATGGTGAAAAACATTTTCCAAATCGAAGCTTTTCTTTCTTTTTCTCTAAGTCAAAGCATAGTTTAAAATTTACAGAGAACAGTAAGAGGGGTACAAATATTTTAAGAATTTACCAATGGCAATTCCTTGGAGAATATATGGTATCTGAACTCGGCAGCTAGCTCTTGTAGGGGATTCGGTCCACTCACATAACAGTGGACATCAAGAAACAAATTACCTTTCACTTCTGTCCATTCAGCAACCACATCATCTTTATTATACCACCCTTTCAACTGCCATAGAAAAAAATGGTGCAAGGATTGAACTCAAATTACAAATTTTCAAAACAAAGTTTCAGTCAGTGGGAAAATCATTTTCCATAACAAAGTTCAAAACCACAAAACGAAAACGTTATCCACAGAAGTAGCTTAAGGATAAACACTTGCTCATTCAGAAATGCAAAATGACGTTACCTGATCGTATTGGATATTATTTGAGATGGCTAATGTTAGATTAGCAGTAAAATCACAATGGGATAATGTGTACGTCCTTGTCACGATACTTGAGTATGTATCAACCTCTTCTCCTTTTAACAAGACTTCCAGCTTTGAAGCTTCGAATCTTGCTGGAGGACCCAAGAGCCTGACAGCCTGGTTATGAAGCCAAAAATTGTATTTATTATTATTTAATAAAAGAAGAGCAAAGAGATTTGAAAAATAGAAGACAAAAGATAATTTTATAAGCTTTGCGACATAGTTGTCATGATGGATCATCTTTATTTGAAATTTGCATCAAGGGAGAGATCTATGATCGCCTTTTTGGTCTTTTAAGTCACGGACGATCAAGTCATGTCAGAAATACCGCCTCAGTTGGCATACTCAAAAGTAAAATTTTATAAGGAGAAGAAGGACGATGATGTTTCCTAAACGTGCAGATGGATATAATGAATAATTTGAAACAAAAGGATCTCCAATGATATTTTGCCAGGAAGAAATAGTTGCCGAGCCTTTGCTTTGCTTTGAAGTCTATATTCTGCAGGATAGCTAGCTAGTTGGAAATGTATTCTGCGTAAAGCAACCGTGACTATTCAAAAAATAATCCATCTTTTTATGATGTTTAGGTCTTGCTTTCAGTAATTTACACTAACTTCTCGAGCTCAGGGTTCCACTGATCAAAACTTCTGGACAAAGCCAAGCCTCTTACACTGAAAACCGTTAATCGGTTACAATGTAACAAACCAGCTCTAAATATTTGCTAGAGTCAGCAGATTGATCAAATAGGCAACAAACAAAAATTAGCACCCACAAGCATTGTTAAACAATCTACTGAAATTGAACCATTAGTTGTGCTTTCTTTCAATGACAATCATTTCAAAATCTACTTATCCGCTCCAACCTGCCAATTCCCAGCCCCGGAAAAAGTAATATAAGTACAACCACTTGAGGGGAAAAAAGGAACAATTCCTCCATGTCATGAAGAAATCAAAATTTTCCAATCATAGATTACTAAAATGAGATGTTCTACGGTGCACACTTCCAAGAAATTGACAAAGCAAGTCTGCTCAAATAGCAATAGGTAACAAAAGATTACAAAGCAAATTGTACAAGTTCCTCAATTTACTGTTCAGTTTCCTCTGCCAAGAAGCAATAACTCCTAAACATCTAACAAATCATTACAAAATGGTATCAACCAATTATCAAGGCCCTCCTGACCATAAGACCACTAAAGCAATCGCTATTATATTTGACCTTTCCATTAGTAGATCTCCATTTGAAAAACTGACAGACTCCACATATCCAAGTTTAACCTCTCAACTTTCCACTATGGTTCAATATTAACCCAAGTTTGTAGCTAGCGAATCAATGTGTGAAAAATGCAGTCTTTTCCTAACATGGTATTAGACCAAAAGTTTAACTGAGGGTAAAGTTGCTCAATTTTTTTTATGACCGTGGTGTCCGACCCAGCTTTCATACACCCCAAGTAATTCTACATTATACTTGTCACCTCCCACCAGCAACAGATACCAGGTAAGTTACTCAATTTCAAATACTCACATAAGCAAATTTAACCCTTTTCCCTGGTATAAATGGCAAAAATGTGAAAATACATACAAAACAAATTGTACAAAGTCCCTCAACAAAACTTCGAATAAGAAATGCACTACACAATCTACAAAATATATCACAAAAATGGGAGAAAACTCATATTTACCTGGAATACAAGTGTGTTGTAAGGGGGTTTTCTTCCACTAAAAGAAGAAAGAAGAACAGCAGGTGTTGTTGAATGCTTAACTTGACAATTATGAATGTAAGAAGATGGAGAAGAAGAAGAAGGAGAATGGGTGGTAAAGCGAGTGGCCATGGACTGCATGACAAATTCATCCTCTCTTCTTCTCTCTACAACTACTATTTTCTATCCACTTGAACATTTCACAACCATTTATTTTTCTCTTTCAACAATGTTTAAATTGTGTCTTTGTGAATGTGTTTGTGACACAGAGACTATTGAGAGAGAAATGAAGAAGATTTGTGGATATGAAAAATAAGCAACAAAAATGGAATTTTTTTACAAAAATATTTTGCGAGTAAGGAGACCCTACAATATCCTATGACAATTAAATGGACCAATAGTTTATTTACATTTGTCTATAACTCTCATCCTTGAAAACACCATAGCCTTACAATCACAAACATCACATTTTAAATCTATTTTTTTCTTTTTAATTTTTTTTTGGGGTTTCTTGCCCTGTGTCCGCTACTCACATTGGAGCCCGATTAAATTTGACTTCGCACTGGGAAGTCCACATCTCATCGTAATGGGCTTGCTTACAGGGGTGGAGCTACAACCAAGTAAGAGTGGTCAGACGAACACCCTTGTAGGAAAATTATACGAGGAATATAGGTAGAATATTGTCTAATACGTGGATATATAATAAATTGAACATGCTTCTGCACAATAGTGGCTCATAGCCTAGCAGTAAGCATGCGTATTTTTGTCATTGGGGTCTGTAGTTTGATTCTCACTAGCTACGTTTATTAACACAATCTGTTTTTTAAACGAAAAAAAACACATAAATATCCATTATCAGCTCCGTTTCTTCTTTATGTTTCTAGCCTTAAATTTTAGTTAACCTAATAATTAATATTTTATTATTTTCTTTATATTTTCAATCTATATTAAGTGAATTATTAGGTATAACACACTCTCAATAAATTATTTTTAAAGATAAAATTAAAGATTATCATCCAGTATTATTATATTATACTTTTGATTATTTCTAAACTATTCTTTTAGAAAATATAAAATAGTTAAGAATCTTATTAAAAGAAAAGGTAATATGGAAAAAAAAAAATTCAGCAATTATCTTGAACTTTAAAACATTGTAATTTAATTTTTAAATTTGGGTATATCCACTCATCAGTAAAAATAAAATAAATGTTTTGTGCACCCACTCTGTTAAAAAATAATTATCGACTCTTTTAAAGTTTGAACACCCTTGACGAAATCTCTACCTCCGCCACTGCTTGCTTAGTGAGGGTTATCTCTGTTGAAAATATCATTAACTAATAAAAGTATGCTCTCACACACACTTTAACATGGTATTAGAGCATATAGGGGTCCTGAGATCGAATCTTATCGTCATCCAAATTAAAAAGAATTTCCACATGCTTGAGAAAAAAAATGAGGATATGGATTTCCTTGTCATTAAAAAATGAGTATTACCTCTATTTCATTTAATGTGTCTTAATTTAATTGAAAATCAAGTTTAAGAAATCGAGAGACTTTTGAATCACGTTTTCTTTAACTAAGGAGACTCTTGACTACCTTGACATTTGACAATTTGTGCAACAAAGAACCTTTCACAGCGCAAGGAGGTGCCTTAGCATTTTAATAATCTGGCTAGCAATTTCAGCGTATATTCTATCAAATTCATATATCAAAGTTCAATAAGCTGTTGCGGGTAAGGTTTGTAAAACATTTGTTTTAGGTTCCAAATAAATTTTAATAGTAATTTTATAATTTTAATTTTACTTAAAACATATTGAACATTATAAAAATAAGATCAAAAATTAAATTTAAAAGGAAAGAATTAAGAACTATCTACTTTTTATCTGAAATATTTTAAAACTCTAAATTAAACAATATAAATCTTCATATTAATAGCAGTCAGATCTATGAAACATGTGTGTCAAACCATCTACACATGTTGGTTTTTTTAAATGTTGGTTAAATCTTTCTGCCTATCGTCAATTCACATCCTTAGAGAGCACAACACAAAGATGTGGGGAAGTCTTGTGGGGAAGTCGGATAAATTATGTTATTAATTTAACAGATCTATTATCGTCACCGGTGCAATGCACACTTGGTAACTGCCATGAGGTTCAAAAGTGTCATTGTTACATAAACATGTGTGATTTAGAAAGAAATGATATGAGTACTCACAACTGATGTGGATGTTGTGGTGTATTGATGAACCAAAGGAGCTACTTCCCAATAGGAGTTGTGATCACTCAACTCAACCTTTTATCCTCCGCCCCTATAGGGTTGTCATCACTCAACTCAACCTTTTACCCTTAGCCCTTCATTTGATTGAAAAAACTCTATTGACCTTTTACCCTTCGCCCCTATAGGGGTTGTCATTACTCAACTCAACCTTTTACCCTTAGCCCTTTATTTGATTGAAAAAAACTCTATTGAAAATATAGTCAGTGATTGTTGGGCTCACAAATAGTTGTACCTACTTTCTTTTTAGTTAAGAAGGACAATTATTAGAGATTGTGTGTTTGATTAAAGGAGGTTAAACTCTTTAACTATTGAGAACAAGTATCTTGTACCAATGGTGGAAAATCTATACACTAGGTCTTTTGCTTTTTATTTTAGGAAATTTAGTGTTTTTCTTTGGAAATTTTTTTTAAATATTAATAAATAAAAAATTTATAATAATATCCAAGATAATGTATTGCAAAAAAGGGCTAACCTCTTATTAATTATAATTGATTCTTACTTTTATAAATAATAATATTACTATATGAAGTTAAAAGCTTAATATGCTTTAAATACAAATACTCCTTTATTTCAGTAAAAATAAAAGCGAAATTTGAAAGTTAAATTATTTATAATTATAGTAAGGTGACATTTCTATAAATGTTAAACAAGAAGATTAATCACATCATGATTGAACAAAAAGAAAAGTTACATTAGAACGTGTGATGTACTATAAATGTTATAAATGTAAAACAAGAAGATCAATCATTTAAGAAAGAAAAGTTGTGTTAGAAAGGGGTAGATAGAAAGAAAAGTTACATTACAAAGGAGGAAGGAGGGGTAGATAGAAAGAAAAATTACATTACAAAGGAGGAAGGAGGAAAGCAAGATTATAAAAAAAAAATTGGATCCAATTTAATGACAGTATATAGGGTTGAAACTAATATTTCAAATTTTGAAATTAATTAAAGTTAAAATTATTAAGTCTTTACTTATTCGTAATAAATAAGAATTCCTTATGTTTTCTTTTTAAAAATAGATGTTTAAGGGTTAGAATGAGTGTATATTTATACAAATACTGAAATTGTATAGCTAACCCTTACTTCTTATGGTGGTCCTTGCCATTGAAAATTTGTTGATTTTTATATTAGGAGTGTCAAAATGAGCCTAAATATAGGTAACACGCCTAACAAGTCAAAAATTTAATGGGGTAGGTTTAAGATAATTTGAATTGAGTTCAATCTCAACACATTTAAATCTTAACTTATTTTAAAAGAAGGGAAAATTTCATAAATAGCTAAGATGTGAAACATAATAGGCTTCCTTAGCTAGATTTTGCCTATTTATGTAGTGTAGCTATAGTTTTAATAGATAAATAGATTCTCATTTGTATAATTCAGCTGATTTTAATTAATTATATAAATTGATTATTAAGTTTGTTTAATTAAGTGAGTGACAATTTCAGTTGTAAATATAGAAACAACCCTTAAATTCATGATTATTAAATCTAATCAGATTTTTTTTTTATCAAATATGACTTCTTCTTTGTCTTGCACCGCGTCTCCTTTGGCTTTGACCATGAATTGGATTTTCTAAATAAGCAACATTAATATAATTAGTTGTATAAGTTGTACCGAATATTAGATGCTATTATGGAAACTGTATATGTATATAGTTATATCATGTATATACAAAAAATCAGATATGTTTATATAAAATTTGGAATTGTATAACTATAACTATTGTAATATTGTATACTTGTTGTTTTATACATGTGTTTTTTTAAAAATTATGTAACATATACAAACAAGGCATAAGGCAAACCAATTAAATACTCATATACAAAAGACCTAATGAATTTAACTGTATATTTTTACGAATATTGAAATTGTATAACTATAACTGATATACTGTATAAATGTTATTCTATACATATGTAGTTTAAACTTATGTAATTATATGCAAATAAGTCATAATACAACTCAATTGACTGCTCATATACAACAACAAAAAATAACTAAGGCTGAAAAGAAGATTGCTTATGATCACAAGATGTGCCAACTTCTAGATGATTATACTTGGGTGCAGATTGATCTTCACCAAGGGTGACCTCAAGAAAGTGAGGGAGATGGTTCATCCATGGTTTGAATATATTTACTAGTTTACTGAGATATTCAAGATTGTGACTAAAAAATATGAAACAATTAAAAAAATATTATGAGGAATGAATAAAAAAAAATTAATTTGGTTGAATTATTAAAGGAGAAATGAGAGATTTTTGGAGATAAATTAGTGGGTGTGATCAGAGAGAGAGTGAGTTTTGATTTGTATAAAAGATGAAAAAGAAGGCTTACACGTTTTGATACAAAATGTGGGATCGCCAGCCGCCGTATATCCATTTTCTTTAACTATGACCATTTTTTATAATTAAGTTAAACTATAGTTATGAAGTATAATTAATTACTATATGTTAGCTTAGTTATGTAATTTTCCCTTAAAAGAATCTCCGGTTGAGCTCAAAATAATCTTCAATTTCAACCTATTTTAAAACTCATTATTTTCATTGATGTAATGTATGTTCCTATATTGGAGGTATGAATTATTATCTATTTATATGTTTTAGGATTTATCTATCCATTTGTAATTACTTTTTTTAATTTTCTTGAGTTGAAATTGAAATTGTGGTTATAAAACTTAAATAATAATATGTTAAAAATATTGAGATTAAGCGGATCAAATTGGCCAGGTCAAGACCCAAACCATTTTTTAGCCTATTTGATCTCAACTTATTTGAACCCAAAGTAAATTTAGACGGACTAGGACCCAACTCGATTTCTATTTCAACTCAATCTGCCTATTTGACACTCCTAATTCATATTATCACCGTCTTCAATGATAATTCATCTAAGTCCAAGAGAAAATGTGTGAATACAAAAAGGGGAAATATTCAAAATGTCAATATTTTAGCATTTAATAGGACCCCTTAATCACATTTTCAATATATAATAAAAATGTCAATATTTGAGTTTGTTATATATCTAAGGGAAAAGAGCCT